TACATTCTGAAGAATATTTTTCAATTGAAATAAAAAAATACTTTTATCTTTCTGATGCAAACCTGCAGAATTCGGAGTTTGCAATGGCACAGCCTGGAACTGACAGATGCCTCCCAGATAAATGAGAAGCAAAGCAATTACGAGTAGAACACGGCGCAATGGCATCTTTATACCGGTCAGATTCCATACAGAGAAAACGCGGTTAACTTATCAATGACTGACAACTGAAAAGGCTTATACATATTTCTAACGCCATGAGCAGCAGTTTCAGAATATCAGGGTAATTATAGTACGAGTAACTACGAAGTATGTGCGAAATGCACAAACAAGTGATACTGCGCTAACAAACACCATGAGTGCTTTGTTGCGATGCTCGCCAAAATTGTTTACATGCAGTCATGCACTGTTGCATACATGCAGATACCGATATATTATAAGTGCATAATACCCATATACATAAACAAGTTCCAAACCGGAAATGAGAATTGCTCTCTTTGCATAACACCGGTGGTGTTTACTGTTTTGTAACGAAATCAAGTGCTTTAGATTTTGAGAGCGGTTATCGAATTCCCAGTACCGGCGTACTTTGTTTAATATATACATAGATCCATGAATATCATAACGGTAGTAATACTTCATTAGAATAAATGCACGCTAATGCATATGCCAACACCGATGGCTCGTGCACGTTAAAGTTTTAAGGGCATGTGTTTTTCAAATTGTGCCTACTGTATTCCACCGAATCCTTCATGTGTCGTCCCGCTTTTTCTGTCCTTGTTTTGTTTCAGTTCCGTATCCTACTATAATTCTGCAGTATTCCTCATGTACGCACTTGTACAGATACTTCGACCACCCACAATTAACAGCACATCTTATAAAGGACTACTAATAAGAGTGCTCATGCGCTTCCGGAAGCCCCACGGGAATAAAATGAAATACGAAAATGTTGCCAGCGCGTCATTGGTCCTATTGTTTTATCCGCTGCGCCTGCAGCATAAATTCTCAAAGTCGAAAACTAAAAGCGAGCAGACAAATTCCTTGCGTTCCGCGATGCAGAGAGTTCTTTTTTTGAGTCGAGAGTTCAAAGTATAGATTTAACAGTGTGGTATTACGCATTAAACAGAGGGAAGGAACAGCGGTCAATAAACAGAAAGTAATCAGTAATGCAATACTGAAACAATGCAAGGGTTTCGTGATAACATTAAACAGTAAGTAAACAATAAGCAATCATGTTCACCTATGCCGCTTTCTTCAGTGGATTTACAAAATTTCATGGCAAAAAAAATTAAAACATAAACTTGTTTGATACATCGTCTTCCATATGGACCGGTAACGCGTCTGGTCGTCCTGCATTTACATGTACTGTAATGCACAGAGACAACAGTGAATACCGTAGATTATGCTAATCAGTGTTGATTGTTAATCGAATCGACAACCTGAGTGGTATTAGTGAACTTAGTAGCGCTGTTGTCAACTTGTGCGCTGGTACCGGCGCGAGCCAGTTCCGCGAAAACCAATAAAGTGCTTAGCAAAGCCGTAAAGACCTGTTAAAATTAAGATCATTGTAAGCGAAATTTGTGCCAGGACGGGGATCATTTTATCCTAAACATGCCTGTAAAAATAAACCAAAATCTATTGCATTCGGATGTTATAACAGTGAATTGGGGTCCATGTTGCACCTGCATGGCACTCTCTCGGGTGATTATTACGTCCGCAACTGTGAAGCAACCCGGCTCGCACCGCATAGCGCGCTCATAGATATCATTCCATTCATCGCTTGTCCACTTCTTTCCTCCAGCACGCAGACAAATCTTGCCAACTTTTGACAGTTTCTGACCCTATAATATGCTGCTGTTAGTAAACTACCGTTCCGATATTCGTTAATAGTTACCGCAGAAATTAGCGGTTTTAGTTTGCAGCAGAAGAAATAAATTTGATCACTTCGTATCAGAACACGAATTCGACGAAAAGTATCAGTTTTTTTACCTGTTCGCATGAATAGGCAAGGACAACAATCAGAATGCACAATGAGACAACACCATTTATTAATGCAATAACAATGCTCCCCGGTGGCTGCTGGCCAACAGCATTCTGGCTACATTCGAAGGTGAAAAGAATGGTGCCAGCTAAAGCCCCGTAACACTGAAGGCCCATGATCAGCGACAAACATTCATCCAAGTCGCGGACAACCATCATCATCTGCACCGTCTTAAAATACTCAGCTAGAGCAACTACTCTGTCCCTCCGCAATCCATCATCCAGGCTGAGTGCAGTAGTGCGCACGCCTTCGCTGATCAGCAACATGAGAGTCACTATGAAACCCAGAAGAAAATCGCGTCCCATGTAGAAGATTTGGTCAAGCACATTACATGCGCGGTATATCCATTCAGCCAGGTCATGCGATTGTGTAAAAGGATAGTGCTTCTGAAAATCGCTGATACGCTGCGATAATAAAAGGTCAGCCTGTATGGCGTACAACCGGTAAGTGTGTCTCGTTACGACGATCACGACGAGCAAGGAAATAGCGAAGAAAACAATATTTAGCCGTTGTTTTACTGCAATAATGCCAAAAATTCCGTCAAGCGTATTTATTAGCTGCATAATTTGTTGACTAGACCAGCATGCTAGAATCATCGACAGTACTTGGGCAAAACTCTCTGTCAAATCGAGCAGTCGCATGACTTGGAAAGTGAACCAGTTAGACAAGTCGTAGTAATCCGACTGGAGAGCAGTACCCATGGATAGCGCCTTAACGGTGATTATTAGCGAAAAGTAGATGTTCATTATGTAGCGTAAGAACATCGTCCATCTCCAACGTGTATTCGTTAGAGCGAAAACGTAGCCGCAAATACGCAGAAGCACGACCCAGATTATGCTCGCTTTCCAGATTACACGACGCTTGTGATACGGTTCCTCAGGCGCTAGTGGATCTTTGATCGTCGGAACCATGTTGTCCTTGCAGAACACGGTTGTGCAAGATGATAATTCTTTCTTGTCCGATCGGGACTGAATCATTCGGGACCGCTGGAGCGTTTAATATTGAGTGTATCTGAGAACGCATTGACTATGAGGGTAGACTGAACTGCAGCCTTGTGCATATGGAGAACTTTTTTTGCGGATTATTTATTCAGTGCCAGCTGCTGTGAAACCTCCGTAATCAAGCGTCAATTTCAACAAGTCAAGGCCTTACGTTTGATTAGACCGCTATGGTTGCACTCCGTTTATACAGGCGTTATTCTGGTGCTATATGTTGCTGTTAAGACGTGAGATCATATATTGTAGCCGCTACCAGCCATAATGAACAGAAAAAACAGCACTGGTTTTTCCTTTGATCCTGTGTACATTTCTTTAGTTATTTATTAATTTCTGCGTTGATCGTTCAGTTACTGTAAAAAATATTTGGGTCGTACACAAGGCCTTTTACAGATAGATGCACAGGGTCAGCGAATCAGCGGCATAGTCAAAACGGGGGAACGGTATTTTAGTGGAACCGTTGGCGCACTTCATTTGCAAAACTCGCAACCGAGCGAATAACTGCGTGGCATGTAGCGCCTCCATCCATTACTTTCTACCCTTACCACTAAGCTTCAGCACAAATCTGGGTGCCGCTGTTTGTGCCGTTGTTCGCTTCTACCATAGCATCTGCACGTGGCGATTCCGCAACGACCAACAGAGCGCTCAGCAAAGTGGCACACTCCTTGAGAAACTGCAAACCAATAGGTGATACAAGGGAATTTTCCTATTATCAGAGCGATATTTAAAGTACAGATTCTTTGCAACTTGGGAAATTTGTGACATATTCTTGAGAATGACGGTTTCTGTCCAACTGAGAAATATCTGCAAGGGAGCGCACCACGCACCCGCATGGCGCCTTATCGGCTGTTGATTACACCGGTTTAAGTGAAAAAACCAACCTACTCTGTACAACGCTTGAAACAACCAGCCAGCCTACTACGCTAATCCACACTGTACGGCATGATCGGCATCCCATTCGTCGCTTTCGCGCTTCTGTTTTCCAGGAGACTAACAAATCTCGGCAATCTGCGACAGTTCTTGCCCGTGTAATAACATGCTCGCTTATAAAGCTGATGAGAGACTTCTTACTGCAATGACTAAAAAAAGTATAGTATAGTACATACATAGAGGATATTGTGTAGTGTGTATATAAGTCAAAAAAGTTCCCCGAAAATCTTTCCATGCACTTACCGTAATTTGTGCCGCCGTTCAGATTCACAACTAAATTTGAAAGATGAAATCTTACGAATTAACACTGTGCAGTGTAACCAACAACGTGTCGAAGAAAAAGCCAATCTTTTTGTAATAATCGTGATCGTAGATGAGCGGAATATAACGAATAATAAACGTTTTGTTATTATATTCTATCTGTGCACATATCGTTTGTAAATTTACTGCAGATTCAAATTTTAAATATTACTCTATTAATTATTGTATAGGTAAAACTGTCTATAGGTATAATACTTGCATAGCAGTTATTTTATAGGTATAATACTTGTAAATTATTATTTATCTACGTTTTACGTCATTCTCAAAGTGAGACTTTATTAAATAATACGCTTTTAACAGTAGGACTAACAACACGCTGGCACTGATATTCGTATTTCGTTTTATTTTCGTACTAGTTCCGAAAGTGCATAAGTACTCTTATTAGCCTACGTATAAGACATGCTGCTAATTTTGGTCGGAGTATCAGTACAAGTGCGTACATATAGAATACTGAAGACTTACAGCGGTTTGGAGTTTGTTTACTTATGAGAAAATTAAGCACTTAAAAAGCAGTATTGGTATCTGCGTGTGTGAACAGTGCATGTCTGCATACGCATAAATAATATTTTGGCAAGCATTCCAACAAATCACTTATGAGGTTTGCTATGGCAATTTCTGATGTACAGGTGGTATTAACTGCACCGGGCAGGTCCGGGCTATATTAAATACAGTTTTAGCCTGTTTACCTGCAGTATTTATATTTTTACTCCGCGCTAAGAGTAACAAAATTTTTTCACAAATTCAAGTAAGTTCATGAGAAGCTGAAAACACAAGCGAGTTACACAGCAACATCTATAAACACAGGCGGGCGAATAACAGAAAAGATTTCGTCTAAATTCGCCGTCGGTGGTGCTGTCCCATGATAGATGCTGCGTTTCCTCGCTGAATTTCGATGCTGATCCGTTGACGCAAAAACTCAAGTGCTCGCGGTTCGCCTGACTGCTGCTGGATCATCTTTCCTAGCACGTTAAGCAGCCCGGTGGTTTCAGGTCCGAAAGCGCAGTTGCAGTTGTACGAGTGCTGTGTACCTGTTATCAGTACCTGCAATCTTAATAGCAGCGCTTGATATAAAACACTGTCTAGGCACAACGTAAACCACCAGCTGGCTTGCATCAGAAGTACAAGGGACTGGTTCGGCTAGACTCATTTTTGCCGGTCACAATTACTGCTGCCGCAAACCGAATCCACCGTGTTACTTCGTGCCTCAAGACTGTCTAACGCAATACCTTCTATAAATGCTTGTTTTATAATACCTTTTTTTAGTACATAAATTGCTTGTTTTCGTTATTTGGTTTTATTTCTTGGAGCTGAGCTCAGGTCAAACTGCAAACAAACTGGTCAAACTCCCTCGGAATTTTTGATGTTGTTTACCGGATTTATTGTTATAACCCCCTTGCTTTCAAAATCTTTTACTTTATCTGTTCAAGATATGTGATTATCTACTACGCCTGCAATATAGATTCTCAAAGTCAGAAATCAAAAGCGAGCAGAAACATTCCTTGCGTTCCCAAGATACAAAGAGTTCTTTCTCTGAGTTGAGAGTTCTGAGTGAATCAGAGCTGTTTCTTTTTCGAAAGTTCCTTTTCGCCGCTCACAACCATGGGACTGATGACGGAATGCAACGATAACAGGATTATATTATTACCTTACTACAAATTAAGGATGCGTTGTAAATGCTAAAATTTATTGTCAGCATTTTTTTTCGCGGCCAGTGGGAACTCTTTCACTGTTCATTGTGGATGGGCTTGCATCTGTCAAACGGTCTGTAACGACACACGCACATTGGTTGCAGTTTATGCACTTTTCTATTCTAAAGTATTTTTTCCCGTGATCGTCATGCTTCACCGATACACAAAATAAAGTAAAAAGTAAAATGCTAAGTCGCTATTGGCGCATCCGTTTCCGTTTTAAACCTAAAATATGCACGGCCATAGAATTTTAATAAAAGTCCGCTAACCTGGTTGCCGCAGATATCAGTAGCTTTTGCTTGGCAATCCTGAAATTTGTTCCCATTGGCAAGTTCAGCGAAAACCAGTAATGTGCTGATCAATGCGGCACCCACCTAATTGTAAGCAAATGCGGTCGAACGGCTGAATTACAGTACTCTGTGCTTGTACTAAGGGTATACAAAATCATGTAGTATAGTACACCGTCTAATGCATAGAAGTATTACAATAATTATTGCAATATTGACAACATTTAGATTTGCATTGACGTCGAGGTTTGCTTATTTGCATAAAAGTAATTGCTTTGACCTGGAAAGCGTTCTCCCGGGTGATGATGACACCTGCCACAGTAAAACATGCCGGCTCCCGTTGCTTAGCTGAGGCGTACAGTGCAATCCACTCCTCTTTTTTCCATTTAAATTTGCCCATACTAAAGCAAATATCAGCCACTTCCGCCATTTCTACACCCTGGACGAAATCGCATAGAAAAGTACAGGTTTCTGTATCTGGTTTCTGTTTTCTGTAGCGGATATAATATTGGAGAGAACATTATATAGGAAAAGCAATTACATAAGTATGTAAAAAAACAGTACCTGCTTTGATGAATACATATAGACAGTAGAGAAGATACACATGTGCAGACAAAACATGGCTAAAGCGGCCACGGAATCTATCGGTGGCCATTGACCATCCGATGGGTATCTGCCCAGCTCAAACGCGTAATAAATGAGAGTGGAGAAGGAAGAATAGACGCGATCAGCAGCAATAATTGACAAGCAGTTATCTAAATCCCGAATGATACGGAAGTAGTAAAAGGCGTCCCGCAAAGGGATTTTGAGGGATTTTGGACTCTACTGGCGGAGCGCGCTCTGCGTTTTGTCATGTCCGGTCTGGACTTCCGGGGTGGACACACCTACGACATAATATAAACTATATAATTATAAGTAAATGAAATAATTTCGTAATTAAGCTAATAATTATTGATCTGCATATAATTGTTCAGCGTTCTTAACTGAGACACATAATTCACAATAAAATTATATTAGCGTGCATTGGATATTTGCCATATCGTCTTCACACGATAAGAAGATAAAATTTTGTGGTCATTAAATACTAACAAAATGGCACGCACCGGATTACTGATATCGGAATGTTTTTGCGTTCTTCCTGATGCAGTGGCAACTCTAGGAAACTGTCAAACATCGTAGTCACACATTATTTCTGATTATATGCAAATCGATGAAATGCACTGTGGAGTTTTTCGATCAACGCACAGGAAACATAAACAAATATTACCAGCGTGGAAATCCACGTTTCTTTAGCGATCAAAGTGAAAGCACACACTACCCAGTAAGAGAATGCTTTATCCTCTGCAAAGGAGAGCAAAAATGTAAACAACCACAAATTATCCGTGGGAAACGCACAGAATTCGGCTCATTCGTATTACCACACTATATATCCACATCTCCACTCAAGTAACGACGCAGTTTATCCATGTTTACCATCTGCTCCAGCGGAAAATCAAAGAAATGCTAAAACGGTTCGAACACATGATATTTCTTGATCTGTAAACTGAATAATCGGATATGAAAGAGTTAACTATTTGACAGCAATATACCGAATAATAATTCACTTATTCGAACTTTGTCAGCAGAAAAACTTAGTAAATGCACGTGATTTTTATTTTAAATGAAATCAATTGAATAACCATAAGAAAAATTCAATAACGTTTTGCAAACATAACAACGCTAAATATAATTTCACACTGTAGCCCCAAAGAATTTTTAAAAAATATGAAAATTACCACAAAAAATACACAGAAAATTGAGCAACAATCTAGAATTGTCTGGCATTTCTTCTGCAACTCTTACCTGCGAGGAATCCTTGACGAGGACGAGATTCCTGATAACATGAGGGATCCGTCACTGATAAAGGTGCTATTAACTAAAATAAAAGAATGAAATCTGCAGTTGCACCGATAATCCGATTCAGCATTCGATGAAAAGATTCTCTTATAATTTTGTTGTTTATCGATACCGTCAATGTATAAAAGAATATGGCAACAGTAAAATCGTTAATATAAATAAATTATAAATTAAATTAAGAAAATTCAGCAGAATTCTGTGAAATTCTCAGTGCCATCCAGACTACCGTCAGAATAAAAAATTAAAGAAAAATACGGAGAAAAATACGAGAAAAAACCTGACTTAAGCAAAATCATTTATTAGTCTGCAAGGCTTATCTGTGAGTCCGCCAGTCCAACGTCTCCCGTTTTCTCCCCGTCTACCGTCGCTTTCAGCGTGGCGTATCCCAAAATCCTCCTAGGGTACCACGTCGTCTCTGCTTCTGTCGTAATTAGCCATCGTCCGCTGTTGTGGCCCATAAATTCCACAACCCCGCATCTATTGCAGCCCCGCGTCTATTACAGCCCCGCGTAAGTCACAGCCCCGCGCCGCTACAGCTCTGCGTCCGCCACAACCCCGCGCCCTCCGCAGCCCAGCTTCCTGCCATTCTCTCGGTCCCCCCACCCCCGCCCCCGCGCTGCGCTGCCCCTGCTCGTACCGTTACCTATTTCCGCGTCCTCCGCAGCTCACCTTTCTGCCATTCTCTTGGTACCCAACCGCCCCCCCCCTCACCCCCGCCCCCTCGCTGCGCAGCCCCTGGTTGTACTGTTACCTATAACGCCCTTGTTTGTACCGCTATCTATATGCGTTACAAAGCCACACTGCGGACGATTATCGTCTGAGAATTTTATTTAGTTAATTACCTTCGTATTAAAAGAATTGCCACAGAATCACCAAGTATACAGTTTTCAAGTAACAAATTACTAAAAATTACTTAGCCAAATTAAACTAGATATATGAAATAGGATGGCAATTTGGCTAAGGCAAAAACACTGGATATTGTCAAAACTGCTTTTTATGGTAAAGATCGTCGTCCAAGTCGGCCTTCCATTTGGCCGCCTGTTTCATTTCTTCATGCATCTGGGGCGTAATTTTAGAGGCAAAAAATGCCAAAGGCACTAAAAAATAATTAAATTACCTAAAAGCTAAGAAAATTTATAAACACGACTTACAATTTGCCTGCTGAGCGCTACGACGCAAAAACGCGATGGTGTCCGCATCCAGATTCAATCTGCGGATTTCTTCTGGAAGATCGCTGTCCTCCGGAATGGTGGATGAAATCTCGTTGCTTTGCTGGCTGGCCATGTTGTTGGAAATCTTGAAGTTGCAGACTGGAGATGACTGACTGAATTCATTCTCACTAGCACAGACTTATGAGGTTAGAAAAATCTTTAACTGTCAACACGATGGAACGTGATGTTCCATCACTTTCTGTTGAACAATCGCATTGGAATGCATACGTTTTCGATTGCGATTCTCCCTAAAATACAATATCTCTAATTTTACGCTTAAACGTTAGAAAATTTAACAGGTACGTACAAATATGAGTTGTATATGCTTGTGAATGAAGTATAATGGTGATGTTTGTGATCTAGCTGGCCGTTCCATTGTGATATCGTTTCTTCCTTTGAAGCGTCTGTTTAGCGTGTGTGCGTGTACGTCTGTGGCCAGAAAAAAATCCTGGTGGCACTACGCACATTTTTTCCGCACGAACTCCACCGTAAGTTCCTTGTCTAATTACTATGTACTAATTAACTTTTTTTACCTAATACTCCGAAGGCTTACACTAAATACTTTCTATTTTGTTGTACTTGTGCAGAATTAGGATTTTGTAATCCAGTAAACAGTTTCGGGACTTGTACAGTTTGCCCTGGCTCTATCGGAAAATTTTCAACACTGATCTAGACGAAATTTTTCTTTCTGCCTAAAAATCAACTTTTTAATCTTTTTGCTCTCTGTTTCATACTATAAGACTTGTTAATTATTATTGAACATTATATTATAGGTACTTTATGAGTCCGAATGCAATTAATGACTGAAATTAATTATTTACAGGTTATTACATGCGGGATAGCGATACTATTAGGAACACCATCTGACCACACACACAGCATTGCGTGAACGTCTACGACGGTACAATTTAATATTCGGAACCAAATTATTCTGTGTTCCTAGCATAATATTAATATTGTTACATCCGAATTAATGCTATACCTTTAGTTTACCGCATTTTATTTTTAGTATCATTAAACTGTCTTAATTGCAGATAATTTACCACAATTACAACAGACTGCGGCTATATCAAGCGCCAAAGTAAATTTCACCCTTAAATAATCGTCTGTAAAATATCTGAATACTTTATTTTAATTTTAATGTATTATAGCAATTGATCGGTTATATCTGCTGCAATTATAAGTGTAACCATTTGCAGGCTGACATCACGACTGTGCTAGCATCATCACAACGCAAGTCCATATGGCTGAGCAGGTGCAAAGGTCAAAGCGGAAAATGGAACCAACAGAGTAAGCAGATTTCGTAAAATATTCAGTGAAGCAAAAAGGTTTTTTTAAAGCATAATTTATACTTTTCTCGATAATCGATCCCGGTTTTCAAAATTAATCAAGTATAATGCTGCTACTGAATAATATTTTATCTGCTGTGCAACCAAATCAACCAAGTCTTGTACTTTTTTCCTTTATTTTATTTTGAACGTAAGCAAAATAGAAATACAGTAAAATCAAAATTGTTCAATAGTTCAAAGGCATCGATACTATTTAAGTCATCAATTAGCCGAGTCGCCAGTGATGCAGTGCCAGAGTTAATTGCAAAAATGGAGCAGCAGCAGAGAAAACACAAGCCAGCTCTCACAGCGCTTGCTGCGGCTTGTTTAATTATCCTGGTGATAATAATTTTAGTAGGCGATATTATTCTGCCCATCGTAATAGCGACGATACAGCAACAACAACAAGAACAGCAGCAAGAGCTTAATAAAAATCAAACAGGAACGTTATTTTCGTCGACGTACCCAAACGGGAGCGTCGTCAAGTCCGGGAGTATCCTACGTTTATCATAGGTAAGCTTAAAGCGCTTTACCTGGTCCACAGCATCAATTTCAAGGGTCCGTTTATTACGTCGTATCACGGAAGAATACCGTAAGGGATAAACTTGAGGTCCAGGTGTTGTCCAGAGTGAAGTGAAAGTATTTAAATTAAGTGTTTTCTTGATAGTTCGATTGAGTGTAAAACCTTTAACTTTGCAGACATGCTTTCCTTTGTTTGTGACATAAGCATAAGATTTGGGAGCACAGATGGTGACCTCTGTGATGAATTCACCATCATTTAATTCGTTTGTCAAGTCCCCCATGTAGTTTCCCAACGGAACTTCAGGATCTCCTTGCCGATGAATCCACATTAATGAATCAGTATCAAAATATATCAGGTTACGTCCAACTTGAGCCATATAATTGTATAAGTGAAGGCGGGCATGGGCAGTCGTGAACCTAAATCATCCAACCAATAAATATTTTTGAGAAAAACGTATTTATTATATTTAATTTGAACTTACGCCGCAAGGATTACATTAGTCTTTGGATTAACTGGAATGAAGTCTTCCTTGGACTTGTACGCAACTTGAATTACGGTGTCACTGAAGAATTCGATGTTATGAATTTCCAACGCATCATTTAATAAAAGTTCGTAAAAATCTTTGGGCTCGGAAATGAACTGTGTAGACAATCTGTCCTCGCGCATCCCGAGTCGGCCCCAAAAACTACAAAGAGAAAAGAAACATTAAGCACTTTCAACTAATGTATTCCTAATGAAACAGAAGACATACTTGTTTAAAAATAACTTTGCAAGAGCGCGAAGCCCCAGGTTTTTTTCCACTTTCTCGGCGTCAATAGATACACCTTCTCGAAGTAAAAATTCTTCCATATACTGCTTTTTCTCTTCTTCTGTTTTAACATTAGAGGGCCAGCCGCTTGCTTCCGTTTTTAATTTCAAGAAATGCTGGATGTACTCTTTAAATAAACCTTCGCAAGAGCTCGGAAAATGCCAAATTTCGTAGACTTTTACCACTGTATATCCCAGGGCTAGTGCCTTAATGATTTCCACAGAGCACCAGACGCCCGTAAGTGATCTTTCGGCGTCTGTGTGCTGACAGGTAGAATTTTGCTGCGTCTCAGCACATAGCCGGCATAGCGGAAAAGTTAATTTTTCAGTACGATAGGGTAGAACAGGTAACCATAGACTTTTGGGCGGTAGAATGGTCAGGTAAAATAGTCCGAAATAATTTTCCAAATTTGGATCAAAGTCCGCAGTAATTCGCACGTGTGGGCCAACTGGATATCTTTTCCGCGAATTCACAAAGGGATATTCCGAAATGACATCGGCAAACCTAAATAACAACTCTCATTAAAACTGAAATTATAATCTTTACGTAACTAGTTGTACCGTATTTGTTCGCCGGGCTCGCATTTATAATGCAACCGTGTCCCGTTAGTCCGGCCTCCATATAGAGCATCGCGGGGTTGAAGAGGTGCGTGAACATGAATGTCTTTTATTGTTTCACGAAAATCCTCATCGTCTACCAATTTCTGATCGTACTCGCTTTCCCAAATTTTAGTAACAGAGTATCCCATTTGCTCCAGGGCAATTTCCCGCTGGACGGTTGCCGCATGCAAATCCTCCATCGTTTGCTTGAGATGAGGATTTACAAATGTGCGTTTCGTGGTTGCGGGATTGCCGTGCCAGAAGTCGCCATAGAATTCGTAAATAGTTTCCGCTTCTTCGTCATAGCCGTCCACGTAAAATTTTCCAATCTTCTGTTCTCTTGCAAGTGTTTTACCTTCCGTCATTTCAATATACCTTAACCATTTACCACATTTGACTGATTGCATGCGCTGACTAGGATTTTTTACAACAGCAATAAGGTTTTTTTCCAATATCCGTGCGCGCCAGAAAAAATGGCATATACCCGCGATTGTTAGCGCGGAAGAAAATGGGCAAAGCCCACCCGAAATACCCATGAACAGCTTTCGGAATTCTTGAGAGCAGACGCGTAAAGTGTTAACATCCTGCTTGCAGTATTTGACAAGCTCCTCGTTGACATTGTACTTTCCTTTCTTTTTTCTCCGATCTTTTCGATAAAAGCCTTTGATAAAGTCTTTTCTTTCTTTATTATTCATCAAGCTATAATTGAAATCCTCCCTTTTAGGATAGGGAATAATTCTGCCAAAATTTTCTGGGCGATTGACGGGATGAGGGAATTTACCCTTTTGCTCTGTCGCTCCAAACGCTTGAGCCCAAGCGTCTAGCGATTGGGGATTGTAATTCAAAGTATCACGAAATTTTATGCCAAATTCAGGAACATCCAGTTGCATAATTTTCGAGCCGTTCATTATGAGCTTTGGAACTATCCCATTTTTTAGTAACCATTTTAGAACAAAAAAACCGTCGAACGCCCGAAGGTTGTGAGCCAAGACGTAGAAGTTTTTAAATGATCCGGAAAACAAAAACTCGCAAAATTCTGTTGTTATATCTCGGCCAATATCGGACGAGTCGGCAGGAAAAATCCATTCCTGGCCGTTGTCGTTTTGGATAACGGCCAGGTTCGGAATAAAACTGCCCGTTTCCGGACACGGGTAAGTCTCAAAATCGAAATAGAGAAACTGGGCTTGTTCATGCTTTTCGAGATCCTGGTCCGTCAGGACTTCGGGCCCAATGTAGCAAACATGGTCATTTGTTACGTGTTCTTTGCACACCGTGCAAAAAATCTCACCGCACACGTGGTCCGTCGTACGAAAAGCTCTGGAGACAAATGATTGGCAAGAAGGACAGACAAATAACGTTTGACATACCGTGATCCCGTTTTCTCCCGAGCCAGCAGCGCGATGATGATTGAAACACTCTTCACTGTAAAATGTTCTGCAGCAGTCCGAACAGTATATTTTTTCTTCTCCAGGATTACATTTGAATCGCAGGCATTGTTTGCAACGGTATTGGCATCGATGGCGATTTTTATGATCGTATCCGCGATTGCAACGGTCGCACCAGTACGATGTTTTGAACCAAGCCGGCAGGCTTTTCAAGACATCAAAATGGTTACTATGATGTAGCAAACGAATCTTTTTTTCGGCATATTCGCCGGCATAGACGATCGTATTGAGGTGGTCGACACTCGTTATCAGGATTTGGTAGTCCGGTAAGGCCAGTTGAAACTGTTGAACGTCTTCCAAAGTATATTGTCGAAGATCCAGTCCTGCGTTAGCAATGAGTTCCTTTGCCATTTTTGTCTGCAGCGTTCTGTCGGAAGCCGTACAGAGTCCTTTGGTGTGATACAAGCGTGTGTATAGCGGAATATTATCATCTGCGAGGGCCTTAGCTATCACAAGCGCACGAGCCAAACAGAGGTTATCTGAATTACGAACAGGTATTACACTCCTCATGGTCTCCAGCTTTTGCGCAATAATAAAGGAACATCGTATCGACAGGATCCAGCGGGAAGGTTGGAATGGTGAATTTCCAGCTCAAAAGAATCATCCAGTACAAATTCTTGGTTGGAATTGAGTACGCGGGAAACTTCTTTCATCAATCGCGCAACGGTTAACTGATCACGACGAATGAAAGGTGTGTGAATAGGGTACGAGAGGTGACGGCTATGCAACTTGATTCTTACCCGTTCGTGATCTGGGATGTCAGTTAGGATTTCATTTAAAATTTCGTTCAAAATGGCTGTTATGACATCGGGAATCTCAGCAAAAGGAATATGACTGAGGCGATGAACTTTGCACGCAAATCTTTTACACGTCATCTGATAACGGCGGTTGTAAAAATCATTTATCGGTTTCAACACAAAAAAGTTCTTTATATGAAGCGGGTCTTCGGTAACATCGTCATCATTAACAGCATTAGTATCGTAATCATTATTAGATTCAATTGAATCAGCAGAAGCTTCAGCAGCTATGCGAGACATTTTTGCAAGCAGAAAGGTCACAGTAACTGGTTCTTAATGACAGAAAAGTGTTCCTGACACTGCTTTATAAATTCTAACTCATCTGACTTTATATCAACACAATTTTTTATGGCATCGCCAGATCTGATACGTACAGACATGGTTGAGTCATCGGCGGCAGTCGTAGTACGGTTTTCATGAACAAAAGCTGCTTGGGTATTGGACGTGGTGTCGATAATGCACCAAGACAGGGTTTCCGGATGCGCATTGGCGGTGGAGGCGGAGACTGTTTTTTGGCGGTATTTTGCAAAAGCAGGCGTATTGGTCCATTCTACAATTTTTTCCAGAATATCCATTCCAACAACCAGTTCATTGCACCGCGTATTTTTATGGCGGGCAATAACGAACTGTACGTTGGATTTTTTATGCAATCGGTAGAAAGCCATGAAAGGATTATTGGATCCTTTTCTGACAAAGATGCTATACGCATCGCGGTACTGTGAATAACTTCGAAAGGTCCGGTCGTCCCGTTTATCAGTAAAGGTCTGGTAGAGCCAGTCCACGGATTGAGCGTTTGCTAATCTGATGCGTTTGGCAGGTGGCACGAGATGCTGGTCCCCAGAATCCGCTGGCGCTGCAGTAACAGTATCTGCAGAATAAACAATGTAAATATATTCAAAAACGAGTTAAGGATCAGGATAAGAAACTTACTTTTTGACGATGATGGAAGTGCAGAGGAACTGGGTTCAGCAACTTCAGCAGTTGGAGATGTAGTAGCAACAGAGAACGGAGCGGAAAGCGGTGCTGATGAAACGGAAGGCAACTGATCTGTGATAGGTAATGGATCGGGAAGTTGTTGATCACCCTGGAGAGCTGTAGGGTGCTGCAGAGTGTTATGTGGCGACAGAATAATGTAGAGATGGCGCTGCTTGTAGTATTCGTAACGCGCTATGTATCCTTGCACTGGATCAATGCCTGCAACATCACTATATTTTGAAAACAAGTTGCAAAAACAAACAAAGCACTAAACTTGCTTTTCAAGTCTTCCAGGCGGCCATATAATGGTGTTAAACGGAATATCTGGTCGCCCACTGAAACATAAAAATGAAACTTGAGGCGTATGTTGTTGCTGCTGCTGGCAGAGAAATAAAAATTGTGTAGATACCGTGGTGGCGGATTTCCGCACCAGTTGCTTCATCTATAAAATTAAAGAAATGCACAGTTTTAAAATTCAGTGAACGAAATGATAAAAATAACTAAACCTTTAAAAATCGGCTGAATGGGTGGTGGAGACCACGGGCTTGATTGAAAGTGTTGTTCTGGCTGTTGCTGTTGTTGTTGTTGTTGTTGCGTTACTAAAACAAATTTATATTTCAACAACTGTACAAAAATTTTTGCGTTTAATTATACCCAAAGTACTTGTTGCCGGAGTCGTAAGAACATTATAGTCCTGCAGCTGAATTTCCAAGTCACTTAAAACTTTATCCCAAAGAGCCTCGCCATCAAAAGCATTAAGGTCATCCATTATCCATTACGTTTAAAGAATCCACAACAAATGAAAGCAAGTAGAGAAAAAAGGAAGCAGAATAAACGTATTGCAGTTATATAGTATCAGCAGAATGCAAATGCAACATTTTGCAGTGCAACATTTTGTCACACACAATTTTCCAGAACAGCAAAATGCATCAAGTAAAATAAAGTGACGTGACGGCTTCAACAGGCTGACGGCAGTAAGGGCAGAGGCTTCCACGGTCTAGGGTCGCTTTGGCGCACTGTCCGCACATGACCAGATGTTTACACGGACTGATCAGCGTGTTGGCATACCGCGACAGACAGATTTTACATTTTAACTGCTCAACGGTACGGGCATCGTCTCCGACGGGTACTTCGGTGGCATAGTGCAAAAACTCCTTTTGTTCCAGGAAATCGGCGTTATGGAACTCCACCGCTTCTTCCAATTCCTCCCAAAAATAGAAACGGCCCTTCTTCTTGGCCTTTGCGGCATCAATTTGGTCTTGACTGAAGCCAACGAGCCGTGCTTTGTTTTCCAAAACAGTCATGCCTACATATTATTAATAATAAAAAAGAAATACACAAAAAATCAAAGTGACAAACAGATCAAACACACCTTGTATTCCAATGTCGGTAACAGGGGACTTGCAAGCTCGTATAACATCGTTGATGAACCGTTTGCCTTTCACGTTCATCAGATATGCACAGGCTGGTGATTGGCGGGCATGTTCAATCCATGGTTCCAGATCCAGGGGCAATCCCGAAATGAAGACATAGCAGTAAAAACAGCGTACAGCATCCGGGCATACCGAAACACCCGGCACAGCAAGACCTGCATAATAATAAAAAACCCCATTGTCCTGTAAACAACAGGCGACCGGAAGCGCGAAGCGCTCCGGTCGACGTTGTTTACCGCTTCCGACACATTAGCCAAATGTGTCGGCAGCGAGCAACGGGGCCCCCCCACCCCCCTTCGCCTGGTTTAACTGTTCGACCAGTAATCGTAACCGTTGTTTTTTTTGTCGATCTGACAGCCAAAAAAATGCTTTGTTGTAAAGCTCACCGCAGTTGTAGAATCCAGCTTCGGCCAGCTTGTACACCAAGTGTTTTTTTTCTTCGGGCCACGGTCTATCGTCAAAGGAAAACGCCCGCGCATACATGGTGTTATATTTTGCGCAGTCGGGATTGTTTGGTGGTGAATGGTTGTACTCAATGTTGTCCTGATCGTAATCCATCCGCACCCCGTTGCATTCCACCCACATCTGTGGGAAGTTATCTTTAACCGCTTTGCCAAAGCATGGATTCTTGCACGGTGTGCGATAGATGCCCGTTAGACATGTTCCCTCAATCTCACAGCAGTAAACGCAACGGATCTGGTGCTGGATCCCCGTGCAATACCAGCCCAATTCGGCGTACTCTTTCGCCACTTCCAGGGTAATTTTTCCCCCACAACCACGAAATGTTTCAATGCGATTCTCAACGCTCTCGGCTGGATAGCGCGGATCCCCACGAGGGCCAAAAGCACTTGCAAAACCGTCCATTTTTCTGTTAGCGTGTAGCCGTGCGTACGTGCGTGTGTCGTGCTCTATGCCATTAATGTAAATTGCAATACTCAACTGTCACAGACATAGTGCTGACGCGAACTGTGTGTGTTCTATAACGGTTTTATAAAGCTCAGTGTGAGCAGCAAAATGCTGAGCAACAATTTGCTGAACGGATTTTGTGGACAGGGTGTTTAGAGTATTTGATTAATATAAATACAGGCTTTAATTCCAACTCGTTTTCATTATTCTTCCTGACACTTTTAGTTAGTCTACCTTTTCTTCTGATATACCATGACTGGTCTACCTCCTGCCAAACGCGGTTTCGTACCCGATAAAACTGATCTTGTTGAAGCAAAGCGCAAGTTTGCGAGCGGAAAGATCGCTTTCCACTATGAAGGATTCCCCACCATGAAGTTCGGGTACGACAAGTTCATCTGCACCCGCATCAACAGTGACACCCAGGCCTTGAGTTCATAATTGGCGACTTTACGACTGCCAATCCTCCTGGACCAGCTGCGAAATGGACGCTGGAGAGAAACACATTTTCTCACCAATGACCAGTTCATGCGCCTCGTTGGACTCATCTACAACAACATTACGACTTTAATCCGGGACCCACAGCTAACCAGCGGTAACCTGTCCACCCTGTTTCACCTCGGAAACGACGTCTACTTTGTGTGGTCAAGCTATGACAGTGTAGCGCTGGCCAATATCCGCCAGTTCTGCAAGAGAGGCAACGGCGACATGCAGGCCACCAAGAATGGTGTTTCTTTTGGGATAAAGTCGTTTGAATCACTTCGTACCACCATCCAAGACCTGTCAATGTTCAAGGACATCAATGCTTTGCTGAAAGCACGTGGCTCGCTGGTGATTCACAACGAACCAACGGCAGCGGATTTCAAGCCTGCTGGCTGGCCTGCCGTTCACCATGTATGGTATGTGGTTTGACCGTCTGCACGAGAACTGTGCACGTTGTGGGGAAATGGTAACGTTGTTTACACAACCGACTGTTCGTGAAGCCAGTCATGCCTGTGAATGGGGATTGGGTACACTGAATCTAACGGAAGAAATGATGAACGACATCATTACCGAGCTTGGAAATGGCAAACGTCTTATTGGCATGATGTTGTTACTGCGTCCTTGGGGCCAGCTTACCGGATTTGACGACATTTTGGGTTTTAACGCCAAACAGTTTTGGACCAGCACAAGGATACCCTGTGGGAGTCTGTCAAGCGTATTGCCATGGAGAAGCTGAAGATTACGGAGATTGAGACGGGAAGATGAAACTACCTATCGAAGTCAACCAGGCCCAGGAAGGGAACAGCGGCAACGGTGGTGAAGACGGTGGTGTCTAAGACGACGGAAACGTTTGCGCTTTGTGTTACGGTAAAGCATGACTGTGTTACCATAAAAATTTGAAATGTAAACGCTAAAAAAACAGTGCTGATTGCTTCTACTTCTACCTCAGGGACATAAAATGTGAAATAAAACCCCAAAAAAATTTGCTGCTTTTTTATTTTATTCAAGTTCTGCATACATTGCTGTGTTCATGTTAAAGTGATTGTTTACCCATTGACAAACCATTGCATCATTGTTTGCAATTTTTGTGAAATAATGAATAATGTCTTTATATGATTCTCTCGCTGGCGCGCTTATAAATAAAAAAAATGCAAAATTGACCGCAGACTGTCGAAAACGTTTGTTGTATACGTTCCATTTGATAAACAACATGTAAATCAGTTAACCATTCTCTAATCTCGTCAAATATCTACAGATCGTCCGTACGAGTCAAAAACTCGATGGACGACGGCTCGCTTTGATAGAATGCTAGCCAGTGTTCACCAGAACCACTGGATTTGTCCGTGTTGACGATGTAGGCGGCAGGTAAAACATTGAGCGTTCGGGAAGTGTATCCCGGGTAAACTCCTCGAAATATCCTCTCCGTTTTGGATTTTGGCAAAGTAGCTTTGTTATTGTTCGATTATCCATTTTAGTTAATTGGTAAAGTCACAAATTAGCTGACGGAAGTTGTTAATTTCTATTACCGCGTCAAACGTAAGAAACGTGACCATGATCGTGGGCTGCTTGAGCGGTTGGTTGAAGACTACTCGGATGCCTAAATTACTCCTGACGAATTAAACTTAGAGGGCCGAGTCCGGTCTCCTGGCGTCAAATCAAAGCCGTAAATACAGAATCCGTTTGCATACTCGTCGCGATTAAAAGGCAGTGCGCCAAAAGGACTGTTACGCCGTCCTAAAGTGTCTAGCAGACCATCGTAGCACCAAGTAATTACCGTTTGCATAATCCGGCCTGTACGGCCGATTAGGAAAAGACTGTCCATCAACTTCGACGCTGATTTGAGACAAATTAAAGTGTTGAAAATTGAATGGATTTGTCTTTTCGTGCCGTTAAAAGCATCCGCTGCGACAAAAGCCACAAAAGCACCTTGGGGACTTGACCAATGTGTATGTTATTAAAAAACAGTGCTTTGTATGTTGGCAGGTAATCGATCGGGCGCATCAGAACACGTTCTATAGGATATTTTGCTGTTGTGGTTAATAACCGCTTGCTTATAGCATTCATGTATTCTGGAACCCTGTAATAGTAATGCATTAGATTTTATGCAGATATTTTCAAATTTTTTCTACTGCTTACCAACATAACGGCGAACAAAAAATTCTTGGATTGCGTATAACAATTTAAATTCGTCCTGCGCCGGATTCGCAAAATCACGAAGATAGAATTCGGGTTTATGTAAAACAAAGCGTATTTGTAATGGAACCCAGTTATCAAAGGCTTGTCTTGCATGAAAATATCCGAAAACAATTTCCCGCTTAAAGGGATGTATTCATGTTTTGCGAAAAGCCTGAGTCGAGATTGTTCGGCTGAGTTGTTAACAGAATCTTCAAAACTTCCAGCGACATCCAAGTAAAAACCCAGGATGTTAGCTGTGTATTCATCGCCTCCTTTGTGTAATTTAGCAAGCACTCAAACATTGCTCTGTATGGATAATAGATTGCGCAGTCGCTGACCAATCGGTTAGCAACCGAAACTTGAACTGATTGAAACATTGAATGAATCAAATTATTTACAGGAGCACAGGTATCCGTCGCTTTGATTCGCTCCCCAACCACCATCAGCATTCCTTTTTTCGAATGCCACTTCTAATTCTATGCTTAAAATCCGGTAAAGAAACCATGGCGTTTGATGAAGGAGCTATATAAAATTTATGTCACCACCCGCCGGAATATTTTCCGGAATGGCGGCTGTGGGGCCGATTCTTTCTTCTTCTGTCCGGAATCGGTCCGCAAACGAAGGCGGTATGGCAAAATGTGCGATTCTGCAGCAATGGCAGGTTCTGACCCTTCGATTATGGAAGCCATTTCTAAATATAGTCAGGAAGATCAAATGGTGGGACCCGGCGAATTTTGGTAGTGCGTTTCCGCTTCGTTGGCTTCTTTAATTCTTTTCTTCCTTTTTTTTACCGCCGCTAGATGTTTGTTGAGTTGGTGCGAGAACTTGGCGATTTTGTTGCCCACAGATTTTGCAGCTTCATGTACCGCTGTACTAGCTGCTTCTTTTAAATGAGGCGTAGCAGCTGCTAAAGCGGCTTAGGCTCTGCGGCGCTGCGCTGCCCTTACAACTGGTGCAACAAAACGAGCAACCTTGGAAAATACTGCACGCAGAAAACTACCAAAACCTCCACCGTTTTGATAGCTTCCACGATATCGAACAAATCCGCTCCCCAGCTGTGTATGACCTAGTAAATCATCAAATAATCCCGGATCAGGCGCAAAAGCTTTATATCCCATTTTCAGTATCTTGCCGGTCGGAAATGGAGCTTCACCATCGATTTTCCTGTTGCGAATTTAGCGTTGTCTCCGAGATCAGTGGCAATTGTTACTTCGATGTTGTCGAAAATGGGGCGTAAAAGTGGAACATAATGAGGCATTTCAAAACGTTCCGTGATAATTTTGAAAGCCTCAGTTGCCTTAATAGGCACTGCTCTTAAAACCTGCGCATACGTGTCACCAAGCAGTAAAATCCGCAACATCGCAATAAATATATAAAGATTGATTCCCAATCATGGCGTTTATAGCCTCGGGCAGTAAACAAAAAAGTTTTGGATAATTATCGGTGCCGGCTTTGACTTTTTTCGTTCCGGTTGTTGAACGCTTTCTCAAACTGACGTATTTTGTTTTGAACCGGTTCCTTCGGTATTTTTGATGACGGTGATTCTGTTTTTTTCGCAGATATAGAGTTGGCTGCTGGCGCAGCTGGCTTTGGCGCTGGTGTCTGCGCAGGCGGCGGTGGCGGTTGGGGCGGTGAAACTGTATTTGTTTTCGCACTGTTTGTTGTCGAGCTTTCTTTTCTTGAAAAATTCTCCAACTGATTTAAACCGTCAAAATTTTGCGCAAGGTCAACAATATTTGCAGGATCAGAATAGGCAACATGTTGTCGATGCTGACACCCAATATGCGTTTCAGCAGTTCATTGTTAATAGCCAGAATAACGGTATTGGCATTAATTGCAATTTGCACTTTTGATTGTTAGCTAGTAATTCAATAGAAAAGGCTCTCCTCTTTTGGATTCTTGTCCTTTTGCCAAGAGGAGCTTCGGAATTTGCGAAGAGATTGTTGCAATGATTTGTTCGTTGGTATAATTACCGGCGTGTAAAGTAATGCTTTTTCCTCAAAACAGAAACTTTTCCAACCCTGTTTTAGCATCCGAATTTGTTACAATATCGTAAACCTGCAAACAATCCATGGTCTGGTTCTGTAGGGAGATTGTACATGGAATTTGGGTAATAGAGTTCGACAATTGCAACTTCCCATTTTCCAGACAATGAAATCGTTTTGCATAATTTGTTTTCCAACTGGATGCAGTGTTATTCGAGTAAATATCTGTGCAAGCATCACTCGGCAATGTGATGTAAAATGGCTGTTGATATTGCAAGCTATTCATTTTCTAATGCTAGCTCCCTTGCATAAAATTTT